CTGAAACTGCAATGTCTCTTGATGCTTTCTGTAACTGAGTATCAGGAACAACCAATATAATGCCATTGTCTGATCTCAGGTTCATACCACTCGACATTACTGGTTTAATTTTAATTTTTTTCACTAAATATTCTGGGAGCAAACCGTGAATAGCTTTGTACATTAGAACACACTGTTTATATACAATTCTTTTCCTGACTGTAAGCCAATGGAGGTCATTTAAAATTGGCGTAACATGATCATATTTTGAACTACCTACAACAAGTTTGGCTGCTCTATTCTGAATAGACTGAAGGGAAGCAATAGACTTTTTTGACAATCCATAAAATAAACCATTGCAGTAATCCAGTCTTGAATGCACAAATGCATGTATTAAAGCCTGTGTTGTCGACTGATCCAGTGATTTACGTATTTTTTCAATCTCTGTAGCTGTATGGAACACGATTTTGTCAGCATCTTTACATGATCACTCATCATCAAACCTGAATCAAGAATGCAACCCAAATTTGCTGCCTTGTTGCAAAACGTAATACTCTCATTCTGTATCATGACTGAATCAATACTGAGTTTTGACATTTGTTGCCAAGTGCCAATGGGAAGGAATTGCGATTTATGTTGATTCAGTTTGAGACAGTTGTTTGACATCCATTCATCGACTCTGGTCAGACATTCAACAAGTTTGTCTATCTCTCTCTGAAATGTATCCGGATTACCACTAATTACTATTTGAATATCATCTGCGTAAGCATGGTACTTAAAACCAAAAATATCAATATTTTCGAAAAGCTCTGCAGTGTATAACACAAAAAGTAACGGCCCCAGAACCGAGCCTTGCGGTACCCCAGAAGACATTGTGCCCACATCAGACAATACACCATTAAAAAGAGCTTGTTGAGTTCTTCCCATCAGATATGATCGTAGCCATCTAAACACAGTACCAGAAATTCCGAAATCATAAACCAGTCTGTCTAAAAGTATCTGGTGGTCAACACAGTCGAATGCTGCACTCATATCTAAAAACGTTACCAGAGCAACATGCTGTTTGTCAATTGCAGCGAACAATTCCGATGATACATACATCAAAGCAGTTTCTGTTGAGTGGTGACGTCGGTACCCAGATTGATATACAGGCATCAATTTACGTTTATTCAAGTGAGTTAGAAGTTCTGTAGCCACAATCCGTTCAATAATCTTAGACATGAAACAGATGTTCGAAATTGGTCTATAATTTGCCATATCATTTTTATCTAAATGCGGTTTTTTCAAGACTGGTAGAACAACCGCACGCTTACAAAGTCGAGGAAAAATGCCACTCGTTAGGCTTAAGTTCACAAAACTTGTAAGAAAAACAATAAACAGGTCCACATATTTCTTGAAAATATGTGTTGGAAAAGCATCTGATATACAAGTTTTTGATGGCAGACCAAGTATAATTTTTTTCACATCAGTTTCTGTTAGTATCAAAAAATCAGACAACAAACAATCATTATCTAGCTTGATTTGATCAAAAACTGGCCTATTACCAACATTAGTAGTTTGCCTGATTTTTTCAATTTTATCATCAAAAAACTTCATGAACTGAGAAGAATCTATGGAAACATTATCATAAGACATATCATTATTGCTTTGTTTACAAAAAAGTTTATTTATAATATCCCATAAATTTTTAGGAGCACTGCGATTCACCATAACTAAATTTTTCCAATAAGCTTTTCTTTTTTGAGAAAAAATCTTGAATTTATTCTTTAGAGCAGTAGTCCATTCATCTCGATACACAGATAGCATACAACGCCTATATTTTCGTTCTATTTTGCGACAATACCTTTTAGCTATTTTGCATTCTTCATCATACCATGGAGCAGTAACATCACATCTATATTCAACGATATGAAGAGGTGCAATTTTGTCTGCAAGCCTTTTAAGTTCTTCGTTTAAATTATCAAATTCAATATCAATATCATTACTTTGGCAAGGTTTCGATAACAACGAGTTTTTGACATACATAAACAGATCATCTTCATTTATACGTCTCCAAGATCTAACCAATTTACGAGCCTTTTTAGGACATCTGCGCATCAGTGGTAGTCCGGCATGTATCAAACTGTGGTCAGAATGAATGTCAGTGGGAAAAATTCTAATGTTTGTGACAAGGAAATCCTGTGAACAAACTATTAAATCAAGTATGCCACCAAGACTATGAGTTGGCTCATTTACAAAGTTCTTCAAATTAAACGCTTCGAAAATTTCTATCAAATTGATGGCATGACGATCATCTGGTCTTTCCACATGAACGTTAAAATCACCTGCTAACAGGATATTTGAATTTAAAACAGTTATATTTTCCAGCAAACAAAAAAGTTCTTCAAAAAACAATGAGTTCACATTTGCTGAACCTGGCCTATAAAAAGCCAACAAAATAAAATTTATTCCATTTATTATAAAATTAACAGCAACAGTTTCAAACGTAGTAAATTTAGGAAGATCAATAGTTTTGTATTTAAATTGCATTCTAAAAAATATAATTAGTCCTCCGTGGAATGGATCATCTACTCTAAGGACATCTACGTATCTATAGCCTGGTGGCATTGATAACTTCACTGAAAAATTATCTGATGAACCGTGCCAGGTTTCAACCAAAACAAAAATGTCCAATCCCTCTTGAATCAATTGATAAACAACATCAGACTTTGAAACAATTGATCATATATTTAATAAACCCAAAATAATATTAACATCTTTCTTTATATGACTGCCTGTTAAATCAATCTTATTCATATTTAATTCACAAAAACTATTTATTGCACCAATCGTTTGGGAAATTTTATTATTCTCCATTTTCCTACCGTACCTCTTACTCTGTATAAAAAACCCTCCTTATCCGCAGATTCCTTTATCTTAGCATCATTAACAAATATTTTATATTCCTGTCTTTGTTCCTTGGTTAGGTCAACACTCAAACCAATGTGTGCAAATTCATTCGTTATTGACTTCAATTTGTAAACGTTCCTCATGATACTATCTTTAATCGCAACATCCACTAGTTTTATCAACAACGGTCTAGTTTTGTTTTCATCTTTTTTGCCAAGTCTAGTCACTTTAATAACATCTCTATCTGAAACATCATCTGACAAATGTTTAAGAACTTTCAGAACATTTGAACGATCATTGTTGTTTTCCAGCAAACAAAACACAATCAAATTTGATTCTCTTTCTTTCAAATCACTGTTTTCATGTAACGTTTTCTGAACTGATTTTACCTCGTTGTTTACAACATCAACATTTTTTTTGACAATGCTGGCAAAAGTATCGCTCATTTCACTCTTCAGTTTGTCTATTTCAGTTCGAATAACCGCATCAGAGCGATCACTATCATCTAATTTGTTTTTATTCGAACTCATAATCATTTTAATATTTTCAATTTCTGATCTAACATTCAAATTCATTTTATTTAGTATGTATGTATGTATGTATGTATGTATGTATGTATGTATGTATGTATGTATGTATGTATGTATGTATGTATATATGTATGAATGTACGTATGTATGTACTTATGTATGTATGGAAGTTGTATAAATGTTGCTTACGAGATCAAACTTTTTTATTTTCGCTATATCAAGCATCAACATTTTTTTCATGTTTTTTTTTTTTTTTTTTATAACTTGAATCAACAATAATAATGATAATGAAATGAAAAATAGTCAAACATTAATAAATAGCAATCATAGTAAAATAATAATAATAATAATAATAATAATAATAATAATAATAATAATAATAATAATAGATAATAATAATTATAATAATAACAATGATAAATTGTTTTTCGTTATAATCGTTGAGGTAAGAATGTATTTTTTGTTGTGGAATGAAATTATTGTTTATTATTTATTCATTCATTCATTCATTCGCTCATTAATTAATTAATTAATTCATCCATCCATCTACCTATTTGTCGGTCGTTCCGTCAATCCACCTACATTACAATTGTCCGACATGAAACAAGACAGAGACAAACATTTAACAAATAAAGAAAGAGAAAAAAGAGAGAGAGAGAGAGAGAGAACGAAAGAAAAAAGACAACAATGAGACAAAACACACACACATGCGCTGCACATACACCTATCTACACGTACACAGAAACACAACTACTAGCACATTCAGATACACCCATAGATAAAGTTGAGAGAGAGAGAGAGAGAGAGAGAGAGAGAGAGGGAAAAAAAGAAAGAAAGAGAGAAAAAGAGAGAGGGATGACAGAAAAACGGGTCAAACACACACGTACACTCAAACAAAAACACACATACATGCACATAAATGATAACGGAAATAATAGAGACATTTAACTTGGTGATTGTCAAACGTTTTAAATTTAAATTTGTTTTTTGTGTTCTTTTATGTATACGTGTGTGATTGTGTATATCTGTTTGTCTGTCCGTAGGTATTCAAGTATGTGTGTGTGAGCGTGTGTGTCTATGTATGTACGTTTGTCTGTTTGCATGTATGTTTGTCTGTTTGCATGTATGTTTCATAGTTATTGTTATTATTTTATTTATTCGATCTCTTTGTTAGAAAATTCGTATAAATGAAGTTTTATAGGATTTGAGTGACATAGAATCGATTTAAAAGCCATTGAGACATTTGTATGTATGTTTGTTTTTATGTATTTTTGTTGGTAAATATGTATGTTTGTTTGTTTGTTTGTATGTTCGTATGTATGTGTACATGTATATATGTTTGTATTATATATCCATGATGTTTTTAGGTATGTATATGTTTCTATGTATGATTGCAAAAGTGTATGTTTGTTTGTTTGTATGTATGTATGTATGTGTGTATGTATGTATGTATGTGTGTATGTATGTATGTATGTATGTATGTATGTATGTATGTATGTATGTTTGTATGTATGTGTGTATGTATGTATGTATGTATGTATGTATGTATGTATGTGTGTATGTATGTATGTATGTAGGTAAAAATATTTGACATACATTCTCATAGGACTGAAGAATTTTAATACAAATAACCTGAAGCATTGTAGCAGAAAATACTAATCTTCTCATTCTGCCATTTTTTCTGCATTTGTGGTTTTTTATGTGGCTGTTGTAGCAGCCGCAGCAGCTACAGCAATAACAACAACAACAGCAGCAATAACAACAACAGCTGCAACAACAACAACTACATCAACTACTACTCCATCAATATCAACATTAACTATCTGATTGCCATCACCATTAGCAGCCGAAATAGCAACTACTACTACTACTGCTACTACTGCTACTACTACTACTACTGCTACTACTCTTACTACAACTACTACTATTACAACTACTACTAATATTCTCACGACATCATCACCAATGGATTCCTTGAAACTATCGCTTCCATTACAGACATTGATGATAATAAATAATAATAATAATAATAATAACTCAACCCCAAACAACAACAACAACAACATCAATAACGTCTTTGATTTAAAACAACAACAACAACATCATCATCAGCATCGCCTACGTTCATTATACAGTGAAGAAATACCTTTGAATCGGTTCAAATTATTTGGTTAGCGTTTATAATTAATAATAATAATAATGGGAACTCTTTTATTTTTTCCAAAAAAGGGGCGAAATAAACATTCAATGAAATAAAATAAAATAAAATGAATTAAAAGGAGAAAGTAGTCTACGATGCTCGCCATTATAGATATAAAATGCGTACAACGAGAAATGTAATCAGTCTTAATATAGTTATTATACATTTGAATGTCTGTCGCAATAGATGGCGTATGATGATGATATTACTGAATTAGTTAAATCGTAACATAAACATAAAATAATAATAATAATAATAATTGTTGTTGTTATTATTATTATTGTTAAGAAGCTCCCATACGATTGTTCGTGTTGTTGTTGTTGTTATTATTAATAAACAGAAGCAACGGTTATGACGTCAACCCTCAAAAAAAAAAACAAAAAAATGAAACACCCGCACACACGGGAACAGACACACGCACGTACACACGCAAACACAAACACACGCACATACTCACACACATGGCATCTCACACGTACAGACAATGAAGCCACAGCAGCAACGACAATTTCGACGATGGCGTCATATAACTCGCCGTGTCGCCGTAGTATTCAGCACAACATGCTGACGTTCGACAACAAGAGGAAAAGATGGTGAGATTATTATTATTATTGTTGTTGTTATTGTTGTTATTATTATTCTTGGTGTTGTTGTTGGTGTTGTTGGTGTTGTTGTTGCTGTTGTTATTATTATTGTTGTCATTAATACACTAACTGTTATTCTTGTGATTTATCGTTTAATATTATTATTATTATTATTATTATTATTATTATTATTATTATTATTACTATTACTATTAATATTATTATTATGAACCTAACGATGACAACGACGATGACGAAGAAGAAGAAGATGATAATGATGATGATGGTTGGAATGAGAAAATGAATGAAAAGTAAAATCGATAATAGACAAACACGTCAGCATATTAATTCATACACAAACACACGCACACACGCATACACACACATACACACACATATACACACGTACATACACACATACATACATTTTTTTTCGGAGCAATCGAATTGAAAAGCATTGAAAACAAAAACAAAGACAAACTATCGCGTGTATATAACTATTATAGTTGTCTTATTGTAATCATTATCTTATAGCCACACCCTCTTTCTTTCTCTCTTTCTCTCTCTCCCTTTCTCTCTCTCTTTCTTTTTCTCTATCTTCGTTTAGAATTTATTTTCATCATTATATCCCACAAAGTTCAAAATTTGAAAAACTTTTTGAAATTTTTAAAAGGCAAAATTTTAAAGTTTGAATACTCAAACTAACATACACACAGACAAAATTACATAATATTTACATACATAAAAACAAACAAACTAACAAAAAAACATACGTACACACAAACAAACATACATACATACAAACATACATACAAATATACAAACTTAAAAACATGCACGCCATCCTACAACTGACCTTATCCAAATCAATTAATTTGTTTTTTCTCATTTTAGCCTATTTTTATTGTATTTATTATAATTATTTTTTGTATATATATATATATATATATTCTTCATCATCATCATCTTTTTTTTCTTCTTTTTCATCTTCATCTTCTTCTTTTTATTATTATTATGTATTTTTATTTGTATTACACGTCTCAGTTATTTTGTAGCTAAGAATAACATTTTATCGTTCAATTTGTGATTTTACAATGCCATACACACACATATATGTACATACATTCACACATATACATACATACATACATACATACATACATACATACATACATACATACATACATACATACATACATACATACAAACATTGTTGATCTTCCAACCCAAAACATCATGTCGTTCCATACACTGGTGGATCAGATCCCACACATATAAGGAAGTACAAAGGAAGACGTTTGTATATATGTTTTTATCTATTTATGTTTGTTTATTTGTATGTATGCTTGTATGTTTTTTTGCAATTTTTGTATCTTTGTTTTTTTTCATTTTTGTGGCTATAGATAAAAAAAAGAAACTAGACGACTGAGCAAATTAGATAGCAATCAGCCAATAAAAATAAAATACAACCAACAGAGGAAATTGTAAAACATAGACAAAACATAAATTACAAACATAGACAGCAAAATATGACAAAAAAAACAAAAAAAAATAAACAAAGACAAAAAACATAGACAAAAAACGTAAACAAGTATAACATCAACAAAAACGAAGCTAAAAATTTAACTAAGACATAGAAACATAAACAAAACATGAAGAAAAAAATAAATAAAAACAACATTGACATGAAAAAACAAAACTATAAAAACATAGCCAACAACAACAACAACAACTATAACAACACTGAAAACAACACAAACAACAACAAAAATATATATACAACAAATAAAACGGACAAAGCAAAAAAAACATAATCATATTAGCAGCGTTTGACGACATAACAAACAAAAACATAGACATCAAAATAAACATTGTAAACAACAAAATAACGATTGACATCATAATATTGCTATTATGAAGCAAAACATCGTAAACATAAGCCGATAAAAAAATATATATACAATTTAACAAAATAAACCAACTAAACAAAAAAATGTTAATGCTAAAGGAAGAGCTAAAGCAGCAAACATTCTAACCATGAAACGACAACTAATAAATGTAGCATCTTAAGCCAAAGAACGTTCAAAAAACGACAAATACTAAAATACTAAATGATTACAAACATACAAATGCGCAAACATACATACATACAAACATACAAACAAACAAACAAACAAACAGATAAATATACAGACAAACCAAAAACAAACAAACAAATAAACAGACAGACAACTAGAGAATTGAAACAATAAACATCAACC